TTTGAAGGCAACCGTTAAAAGGTCCTAAGATGATAAAATGCCTCTTGTATGACCAAAATGGATTCTTGTGAGATTTTTAGGGTTTTCCGGGAGAGTGGCAGGCTTGGCCATTCCTCATCCTGTTCTCTCTGCCATAGAATCGTTCCGTTCCTAACAGAGGAATGAGAGCAAGCATGGGGCTCCGAGGTGATAAACTGATGGTGTCTTACTTCAATCAGCTGCCGGAAAGTCTCATCCACTAGATGCAGGAGGGGTGGGTTGTCGTGGATTAATCCCTTGATGGCATCTAAATGGTTGTAAGTGACCAGCAACACATCCTTGGGACGGGGACACAGCAGTACTTGATATTTCAAAGCCATAGTCATCAGGTCATAGAGCTGCCGAGCCATACACGGACAGAACAAATGGGACCAGAAAAGCAGATGTCAGAACCTTCACACAATGAAGCAGTCAAGCACTGACTGGAAACCAGTACTGGGTATATCATACGGCTCAGGTGATGGTATCACTTATCCCTCAAACCAAGATACTACAAAAAAATGTATGTTTTCATTAATTTTATAGAAAGAGAAAGGGAGAGGGAGAGACAGAAACATCGACGAGAGAGAATTATCGATTGGCTGCCTCCTGCACATCCCATACTGGGGATCAAGCCTGCAACCCAGGCATGTGCTCTGTCTGGGAATTGAACTGGCGACCGCTCATTGTACGGGATAACGCTCAACCAACTGAGCCACACTAGCCGAGCAAACCAAGATACTTTTGAGAGGAAAAGGGGGGTGATATTAATAATTAAGTCAGAACAACAGGGTTAGACCAGGACATTCCTGGGCAAACCAGGATTTCTGGTCAGTTTATTACAGATGGAACATGTTTTAAACAATACTGGCAGCTGTGGGGTGCTAGAATTGGAGAGCAAAATCCCGAAATCAAGCCCTCCATTGCCACCGACTATGTGAATGGGCCTGGTGAAGTCCTCCCATCTCTGTGAGCCTGAGTTTTTGTACCCATAAAAATAGTCTCAAATGCAGCTAGAGAAGTGCTCAGAGGGACAATTACAGCAGTAGATGGCTGCATTTCTCCGATCAACACCTAAGCTCTCACCTTAAGAAACTAGAAAAAGAGGGTCAAAGTAAATTCAAACCAAGGAGACGAAAGGATAAGAAAGCTTGGAACCGGGTGGAAGGGAGCTATTCGGGGAGGGGGGGGGGAGGGGGAGGGGGAGGGAGTAGGAGGAGAAAAGGAGAAATAATTGTAATAATCTGAGCAATAAAGATTTATTAAAAAAAAAAAAAAAAGCTTGGAGCCGAAATCAGTGAAATGAAGAGTTGAAAACAGTAGATAAAAACCAATGAAACCAAAAGTTGGTTCTTCAAAAAGATCAACAAATCTCTAGCTGTATAACCGACAATTATTTACTTAGTCTGACCAAGAAAATAAGAGAGAACACTAAAATTACTAAAATCAGAAATGAAACAAAGGACATTACTACTGACTGATGGAAATGTTCTCTAATTAGATAGTGGTGATGGTTATGCAACATTATGAGTATAATAAAAACCACTGAATTGTATACTATTAAAGGATGAATTTTATGTCATATGAATTATGCCTTAATTTAAAAATGGCAAAAAGATATTACAAAACTAGCTGTGGAAAAGACATTAATGGATAAAGGTTTTTGTCTTGGCTGGGTGGCTCAGTCAGTTGGGGTGTCGTCCATGCACCAAAGGATTGCTAGTTCGATTCCTGGTCAGGGCACATGTGCAGGATGCCAACCCCAATCTCTGTAGGCTTGGCTCAGTCCGGGCTGGGGATTGTGTGGGAGGCAGCCCATCAATGTTTCTCTTTCACATTGATATTTGTCTTTCTCTCTCAAATCAATAAAAACATATTTTAAAAATGTATGGCCTTAATTTAAAAAAAATCAGAATGTAGCCGAAACAGGTTTGGCTCTGTGGTAGAGCGTCGGTTTGCGGACTTAAGGGTCCCGGGTTCGATTCTGGTCAAGGGCATGTACGTTGGCTGCGGGCACATCCCCAGTAGGGGATGTGCGGGAGGCAGCTGGTCGATGTTTCTCTCTCATCGACGTTTCTGGCTCTCTGTCTCTCTCCCTTCCTCTCTGTAAAAAATCAATAAAATATATTAAAAAAAAATCAGAATGCCCTAATAATTTGTTCCCCCAAAGATATAGATGTCTCTGTTATAAGTAAAGGTTGAGCAGTTTTGAATTTGCTTCAAAAACTTCCTGGTTGTCAGAGCTGAGATTTGTCAAGAACGAAGCAGAACTGAAGTTTTAGGGTTGGTTAAGGTGTTCATAAATATGGGCATGAAGATCAGCGCTCTCTTAGGCAGGTGGAGTGACATAAACAATAGAGGGACGGGTGCGGATGATGTCTGAGGTCCTTTCCAACTCCGAAACTCAACAGCTAATATTTATAAGGCCATTTTTTTTTTATAAGGCACCATTGTGTACATCATCTCATTTGATTCCAGTCTACAATCATCCACCAAAGATACAAGACATGCAATCAAGGGGCTAGAGGCAACTGTTTGCTCACCTTATCCATGCTGGCCTGGTTCAGTCTCATAATGGAGGCATGAGCCAGGCGGTCATAGATGGTCCTGAGGGCCTTCTTGGAGTAGAGCTCTTGGGGTTTTAACAATTCCTCTATAAAGCTTTTGTTGAACATGGTTAAGACGATGTCATGAAGAACTATAGTGACAAGAGAGAATACACAGCTAAGCAAGAGAGAATATACTTAATTCAGGAGCTGCTCTCTGTGTACAAATGGGATGGAGGAGCGGCCTACGCGGAGTGGGATGCTGATGTGCTTGGTGAGATCTGCTCCCTGGGGAGAAAGCACACGGATGTTCCAATAGAAGGCAGGGATCAGAGTGCCTGAGGAGGCCGTCTCAGGGCAAACATAATGTGACAATGTACAAATGTGTCATGAGAGGTTACAAATCACTTACATGCTTCCCTCACTTGGTGATAGGGAAAATGTTTCTTCTTTCTTTAAAAAATAGTCCTATAAACATTTTTCCTTAATGCGAGAAACAACATCACTCTTATTGTTTGTTTAGGAAATCTATAACATTTTTACTTAAAATTAAATTTTATAAAAATGGAACCAATAATGGTAAGTTGACTATTTTTGGCAAAACATTTTATGAAAATCAACAAGTCTACCCACTGGTTAGAAATTAAAATATTTATAATGTTTCTATAAGACATGTACTTCAGATCAGTACCATTTTAGAATGTCTTAATTTTTACATTTGATTTATAATGTTAATATTATACTGTAGTGTGATGTCTCAGACTATTGCTCAAATGGAAAACTTTCATCTTAGTGAGAATAAAAGGTCCTAAGATGTGTGCAAACCAAAATGTCTATAAATCTAGTCCTTCATTCACTCATTCATTAAGACATTTTTTTGCTACTCAAATATCATTAGTTGAGGGCTAGGAAAACCCTCAGGGACAAGAAATAGAAACAAGGATGGCTGAACACAGATTATTCTTAATGAAACCATGTATATTCTTGCCTAAAAAAATATACATTTATAGAAATTAAAATTTGAAAGAAAACTGGGTTACTTAAAATAATTACACAAAATCAATTATTAATCATGAGTGATTATTACTAAAAGATACAAATGCCTCTTTCTTTTGCCACAAAAGGACACACCAGGCATTGGTGTGGCCAGATATCATATCTAAGACAGAAGGCAAGGTAGAGCATCGCATGTGTGATTTCAGGCACCCTCTCTGCCTTTAAGTAACTGATAGGAGTGTCCTGAAGGCTCAGCGTGTCAAAGAGCATTTTTTGGGGGTGGGCAAAGGGCTGGTTGTATTTAAATCTTTATTTTTTAATTTATTGGGGTAACATTGGTTAATAACATTATAAAGGTTTCAGGTATACAATTCTATATGTATTTAAATCTTAAATGGAAGAACTATAGAGAGAGAGGAGGAAGCGGGGGGGGGGGGGGGGGCAGAAAGGACCTTGACACAAAAGAACTAACACTTCTTACTGATGTGTTAAACTCACACTTGCCCTTTGGACTTGACTTTGGACTCCTTCCTATTAGTGAGGAAGAACCAAATCCATTCCAAAACAGGGTATCCCTCACTCTGACCAGTTCAACCCAGCACACCTTGCCCTCAATGCACACTAACATGTCCCCAGTGTGGAGAGCTTGGAGACATAACTCTTCCAGACTTGCCTCATGCACAGCCTTTGACCTTTGACCAAAACAAGCAAGGATCTGCGGTACTGTAAAGGGGATTTCCTAACCTCTTTCCTACTGCAGCCTATATGAAATACAGGATTTGCAAGGAAACAGGTGCAACTGAAAACCCACACATGAGGCCTCCAAGGAGAGAGTCTGAACTTTCCACAGATTCTGTAGGCCAGGGAGGAGTGCCCAAGAGGAAGCACTCAAGGCAAAGTATCACACCCGCTCTGGCTGTGTTAATGCTTACGGACCCCTGCCATTCACCTCAGTGCTGAGTTTCTGTCTTTTAGCTCTTAGCAGGACCTAGGAAAATAGCTAACCCCCAAATAAGTCAGTGCTGGAAGAAAGAAAGTCTCGAGGAGGTTGGGGCCACTCTGGCAAAGCAAAACGAGGCCTTTCCCTCTGGGAAGGGAATAAGCTGTAGGTCACCCCGGCTCTTTGCACAGGAATGTCCAGGAAGTTCACTGGCCGGAGAGAGGGTACAGAGGCCCTCTCCCTGTGGGCAGAGCAGTGACCACAAATGTCCCCAAGGAGAAAACGGCAGTCCTATGGTTGGGAAGAATGTGAGGGCCACAAAAGAATATGGGGGAACAAGCCTACATCTCACAACGTTTCACCTCGCACTTGGAAGATGCAGGCCTACTATGTGAGATAAACACCAGGCCGCACAGGAAAGACATGCTGCCCTTCATCTGGAGAAGCAGTCCAGGTCATACTTCAGGTAAATCTGAGAAGGGGGTCTAACCACATCTATCAGTCTATTTCAGTGTGAGTGTGCAGCAGTCCCATGAGCTTTGCATCATTTCATGAGGCCGGAACGTTCTAGGAGACAGGTTTCATCAGGAAAAGATGAAGGCCAGGGAGTGGAGTGACTTTTCAGAGGTGCATCCCGAGTTTAGATTATTAAGTTCATTCTGCTCATTATTTTGGGGTGCTCAAATTAAAATAAGCTCCAGTGACTCAGTTATGCATGCAAAAAGCCCTCAAAATCCACACTCCTCATCTGAAATTCTGCCACACATCAAGGGGTAGGCAAAACCTGCTCAAGAGAAGTGGTTGTGAAATATGATAAAAGCACATCAAGCACTCCTATGGGGCTTTCTTTGAGCCTGGCCTGATGAAAGCAACTGAGTATTTAATAAACCTCTGAGCATTGAGACCTCTGTTGTTAACAGGAACATGCAATTTGGAACCGAGGGTAAAAGAGAGATGCTATTACTTTTCGATGGTTACAATGCTTCAAATCCTTACCCTGTTCCAGGCACTGGGCTTAGAACCTTCCATGCATTATCTCATTTAACAGCCCCCAAGACAACTCTGGATGATTATCCTTATTCTATCAAGGAGGAAAACTGAGTTTTAAAGAGAGGTTAAGTCCAAGGTCACACAGCTAGTGCTGGAGTTGAAATCAGAATGGGGCTGTTCAATTCTACTCCCCTTCCTCTTAAGTCTTTTATGTTATCTCCTCAGCTTACTCAGTGTGGTGAGAGCATTTAAACTACTGAGGACGATGGCTGATGACATGCATACATTGCACCCAAATGTCAAATGATGAGAGCTACTCATGACAAAGAGGAGAAAGCTAAGGCTTTGCTCTGAGGAACTGGCAAACTTTTTCAGGTTTGCTGCTGGTTGTAGGTGAAGGGGAAACGGAAGATCTGGCACGATAGGGCCATACTGCATGCGTGATATCATGCCTTCTGCCCACAACCCTGGCAGCCATGCAGCCACATGCTTCCATTTTCCTCAGCTGCTCACCAGATCTCTCTGTGTGCTAAGGAGAATGGTTCAAGGAAGGTCACTCATGTTGAACCACAATTCTTGGGTAACATGATACTATCACAGAATTGCTTTAAGGACTATATTACAGGACAACCTACCCAGAAGTGTAACTACTGCCCCGGTTGTCCCCACAAAGCTTAGAAGATGAAGAGAGAAAAAGGTACTTCAGGTGCAATATGGCCTTGTGCCCTAAGTTTGCTTGGTTTTTATCTTACATGCTATCTTTTACATAAAAGGTTCAAATATATAACCAATGTCTTAGCTAAAGAGAAACTCATGACTATTTTCTTGAAAATAGTGAGAGTGGTCCCACTTTAACCCCACTGATAAAGGACTGGCTGGACTGTGGATGCAGACTGAACACATGCAACCCAGAGATAGCATACCTCGTTTTCTGTCCACCTCTGTCCATTCATCTACATGAAGCATACAAAAAGAAAACACCAGTTCATGAAGCAAACACATCATTTTCAAGGAGGCTTTAAAAATACCAATTCCAATGATCTATCTGGTCTATGAAACGTTGTCATGTTTGCATCAATGTCTAAAGTGAATAATCTACCTCCCGTGTGAAACTTTTAAAAGGCTGATGGAGAAAGACGTCCCCAAAAAAGCTGAAGAGGCTCTATCTTACAGAGAGTGGCTTAGGGCGAGGGGAAACTCAGGTCGACTAGCTACCCTGGGGTTTGTCTTGAAAGGCTCGAGAAGACATCTTCTCTAAATGCCACCAGAATACGTATTATTCAAAATAAGGCTTTAAAAAACCCCACACTGGCTTCCACAAGGAAGAGTAACTCCAAGAACACGTAGACAAAGGAGTTCCTTTTTTATTAAATAAGGTTTCCCTTTCTAGAGTACAGACGGAACTGCTCAAATTAGAAAACATGAGATGTGCATTAGAAAGGAAAAAATGTCTATTTGTTTCTGACTTACTTTTTCTACATAGATGTGTAAATTTCTAGGTAGAAAGAGGGGAGTAATGATGGGGCCACTGTAAAAAAAAACCTTGAAGACAAAAGCAGTCAGGGGATGTTAAAAGGAAAGCAAATAAGGAAAAATGTACTTGTCTAGAGAAATCTGTAAGAGCTAAGAACCTTTATGGGTTGAGACCTGGCTCTGCCATTTACTAGCTATATAATCTCAAGCAACTTGTTTAACCTTAGTTTCTTCATCTGTAAAATGGGATCATAACAGAACCTACCTCATAGGGTTGTTGTGGGGATGAAATATAAAACATCAAGCACTTAGCTGGCTTCTCTTTTAGTTCCTCTTTCTCTACTGAAGGACACTGGACACTACCAACAAAGAATGAAAGATTACTTTCCCCCCCCTTCTTTCTTTAGATTCTGGGGAGATCACTGCCAGCTAAAAAGAATTCTACACACACCCACATTTAAAAAACATCTTATAACTAATGGTCCCCCTTGAAAACATCTGCCACTAGATTGTAATTTCAAAGGTAATTTCTGCAGTTATAATAAAAAAACATACATGTGTCTTCAATGCACAATGCCAATAGTTCCTAAGAGACCAGTTCCTAAGAGAGCCAGTACCGAGCCCTAACTGGCTGCAAAGGGCTCCCTTTGTGAGATCAGACTCCTCTGGGAAAATCCATCGTCACAAGTGTTTGGAGAGAAAACACTGAGGAAGCAGCTTCCAGAGGCAGGCCTTCTTAAAGCAGATACTAGCGTCTGTAGCACAATGCCCACATCTGCCATCTTGCCGTGCATTTAGTATTTTACAGGTGGTCTTGCCTAACAGGCTGGTAGGAATTCAGAAAGGTGGAGTTGCGACCCTCATGTAGGTGTGTTTGGGAACACGGATGCTGCAAGGGGCTCACCTACTCCAAGGGACAGTGACTTCGGCTGCTGTCAAAACGAAGCTGGCAAGTGCATGCTCAGGGGCAGGAGGCACTCGCACAGGCAACGAGGCTCAGCTCCAGCAGAGGTCTCTGCCGTGCTGTGTGCTCCTGGCTCCTGTCCACTTGAGGATCCAGGGGGAGTTAAATAATGTCCCATTTCCCCATCGTTTCTCCAGAAGACTTGCTTGTGACAACCCCATTTTAGTTAAATGTTGAGTGGGAGGCATGCCCAAGGCTACCCAGAGCTGCCTGTTCAATCTGAACTAGAAGAATAAAAACAGAACCTCAACTATTTGGTTGCTCAGCACTACACTGTGATCTTCAGGTGCTGGAAAATTCAGTGAATGTCTCTATGCCTCAGTTTCCCCTTCTGTAAAATGAGGAATGCAAACAGAATGTAATTGGGTCTTATTTGTGAGTATTTTTAAGAGGATGAAAATGAGGCAAAGGGAGGTTTTATTATTGTCATTATTGCTTAAAATGTGGGACAACTTTCAATAGGCAACACTCAGAAGTTGCTCCATAGAGAGAGCGCTTCCTTTCTGTTGAATGCTGAGCCAGAGGCTGGTTGTGGGAGAAACTTCACCATCTTTACTGGCCTGTGGGAGCAGGAGGGCCTCCAGGAGACCACTTAGTTGTGTAAGATGATGAAAACATCTAGAAGAAACATGGTTTCCATTCAAAGCTTCAACGAAGACTAATTTACTGTGTCGGGTGCTTTATAGGTCTCCTTGCACAGGCATCTGTCACAGCAGCTCCTGCTTCCTGTAGCTACGCCAGCTCTATAGTGGCATGGATTAGTGTTTCTCAACTTTGAATCCCAAACTCTCCACCCTGCTTTTTCACTCTATCTTCTACAAGTCCCCATCAGCCAACCATAATACTCTTTATCATTTCTTTTTAAAAAATCAGTTGGTAGCCGAAACCGGTTTGGCTCAGTGGATAGAGCGTCGGCTTGAGGACTGAAAGGTCCCAGTTCAATTTTGGTCAAGGGTATGTACCTTGGTTGCGGGGCACATCCCCAGTGGGGGGTGTGCAGGAGGCAGCTGATCGATATTTCTCTCTCATTGATATTTCTAACTCTCTATCCCTCTTCCTTCCTCTCTGTAAAAACAAAACAAAACACAATAAAATATATTTTTTAAAAATCAGTTGGTATATTGGAGATATATATATATATATATATATATATATATATATATATATATATTTCCAAAAACCTCTCCCTTTCCTCCTGACCTTCCTTCCAACCACCACAAAGATTCTGGCACAGTAACCATCAGATAGGGAAGTATAGTCAGTGCCTAAGAGTATGAGCTCTAGAGCCCGATGGCCTCGGTTCAGATTTTTTACTCTCTCTCTTACCAGCTATGTAACCTTGGGCAAACTAGTCTTAGTTTCCCCATCTGTAAAATGGGGATAGTAGTAGTACCCACATGATGGGATAGTTGTGGGGGTAAAGGTATTCAGGGAAGTCCTCAGTTCATGGTAAGTGCTTAATATTTGTTGTTGTTGTCATGAAGCAGCTATGTCCTCTAGTTTTTAGAATCAATTACTGAACCATACTGATCAAAAGCACTACCTCCAGTGAATGTGCAGAAGGGCTGGATCATGCTCCACTCAGCATCTCTCGTGTCACCTGACCCTCATCCCAACTGTGGAAGGAATTAGTCTGTGAATGTGAATGACCAAAGCTGGCTGACACTCCATTAAGCTCTATCCAACGAACCCCTAAGGACTACATCTCCTGAAGGTAAAGAAGCCAGTCCCTAGTATTCACAAGTCTTGCCCAGACCTCCTCTTTAAAGACATATATTAAATACATGCATTATCTCATTCAATCCTTAGGACTTTGCTATATATTATAGTATGTATTATGATTCCCATTTTATGGAAAAAGAAACAGGCTTACAGAGGTTACATTCTAAGGTCGTACAACTAGTTAAATGGCAAAGCTGGAATTGGGACCCATATCTGTATGACTCCAAAGAGCATGCTCTTAATTGCTAGTTGACCTTGCCTTCCAAGATGTAGACTACCCATCTAAGAACTGACTGCCAGCTCACTAACACCATCCACCCAAATGAAATCACACAACATAGGCGCCAAGGAAAACGGAAACTTCTAGAGGAAGAAGTGGCAATGTCACACAAAACAATGAACTTAAATAATCAGTTCAACATTTACTGAGTGTCAATTTATTCTGGTTTAGGTATACGAGGGGCTGGAGTACAAAGGTGAATAAGACAATCATGTGGGGGAGACACATACATAGACCAATACAGGGTAAAAGGGTCAGTGATAAGGTAGGTAGAGAGACACGTAAGGTGCTATGGGAGTATGTGCAGGCTCTTTCCCACGTGGGAAAGGAAAGAAATCTTAAGCAGAATAATGCAGGACAAAAGGAGAGTTACTAGCATAGAAGTGGGATGTTTGGGGTTAGAATGGAGATTACTATAATAGCATGGAAACAAGAGTGAACATGCTTTAAACGAAGTCTCACAAGCAGTTTGGTATTAATATACAAACTAGAAGGGCAGGCAGGCAGTGGTGGGAGGTGGGACTTCAGAGGTGGACAGAAATCACATCAGGAAGGGTCCTGAAATGTCCTGCCAAGGACTTGGCCTCTGCTCAGACGGCAGGGGAAAGCTGACAAAGCGTTTTAAGTAGCAGGCACCATGGACAGATTCACATTTCAAAAGGCTCACTGGCAACAGGGTATGAAATGAATGGAGGGAATGTGCTATAGGGAGCTCTTTTTAACTCTTTATGAATGGACTTGGATCAATTACACAGACCCAATAGTGAATACCTGAATATGTATGCTTAATGTCAACTGAGCATACAGATGCTGTTGAAGGGAATAAATGTTTCAATTGTGACCATGTCAGTTACCTTTATATCAACTTTTCTTCCTCTACCTTGAAATATAATATGTAATCCTAGGAAAGCTGTTGAAAGCAATTGTTGGTTGAGAAGGGAGGAAAAGAGGGAGAGAAAAAGGATTGCAGAGAATTCTGGGTGGCCATTTCTCTGGGGATTAGATGGGGTGTATATGGGAGACAGATTTTACACTTTAGAAACTGTCATATAATTATTTCCACAATTGTATTTTCTTCCAACAACTGGGATGGGAAAGAATTATACTTTCCTATGTTTTCTAATTTATCTGTTTTCTCAGGACATCACCTTTCTAGAAATAGCTTCTGAAATGAGTAAGACTGGCTTCCAGTTTATAAAGGAAGATACCACACAGAGGAATGGAGGGTCAGAATCTGTCCCATGCAGGGGAAGAGGATGCTTGGACCAGCAAAGAGAATGACACCAGGTATTTGGGAGGGACCGGCAGCCAAGAGAGATTGGGAAATCACCTCGCCAATTTGAGGGGAGGAGGGAATTGGGGGATGGGGCATGAGGTACCCTAATAATATCCAATGAGGGTATTAATTCCCTCTGCTGTGAAAATAACTTTTGGGGAATTTGACTCCTGAGGGGCCCTGACTGGATGGGCCTGTGGACTAGTGAGCAGGGTCCCGGTTATAAGAGTGCAGTGTGCAGGGGTGTTGGTCTTTCTATGACGGGGTTGGCTGTGCAGGCCGGGCGTCTCTCACCTCTGCGGGCCTTGTCTCCGGGGATGTTCTGGGCCCGCAGCCGCTGGTCCAGGATGTAAAGCATCTCCCCGCCCAAGTTCAAGAAGAGCAGCGGTAGCGTCCGCACCGACATGATGCCGAAGGCACGGAGAGCTGGTGAAGAGACGCAAAGCTGGGCAGCCAGAGTCCTGGAGGCCCGACCACAGCGTCTTCGTAACCTGGTTGTTAGGGTAACGCAGCGGACGGGAGAACGAGCCAATCAGCAGGCCCTTTGTTGGGAGGCGCCCGGGGGAGGACGCTTATTGGGCGGAATGCCCGAGACCTACGAAGCGATTGGTCCGAGCCGGACGTGGTTCTGGTTTTGACTTTCGGCAGCTGCGCTGAGGGGCGAGGGCTGGGCCAGGCTGGTGGGCGACAGTAGCTGGTGCCGAGGAACGTGGCACCCCTCACCCAGCAGGTGCCCGAGAACGAGGACAACCCAGGCGAATCTTTAGTCTCCGAGCCGAGGGTGCGACTGCGCAGCCGCTTAGAGGCGGAGCTTCCTTTTTCTTACATTGGAAAGGACACCCAGCTCACCGGGTTACTTAAGAATCAGTGAGATATCAAGTGCCATGAAAGCACTAATGGTAAAAGACTGTTCTTTTACATGGGACAAAGGTCAGAAGCCCTTGATTTGCATTTCCTCCCCGATGCCACTTGGAGTGGAGCCTCTGGTCTATGTCCCCTGAAGCGAACCAGGCGCGCTCCCGTTAGATGTGCTGGGGACTCCCAAGCGCCTCTCCTTCCAGCTGCTAAGCAGCTTCCCATCCTTTACCCCCACCTGTGTTCCAGGATCACCATTCCTTCAGCTGCGGCACATTTTTAAGTTGATGAGCAACCATTTTTGTAAAATTTCAATAATAATTTTCCCCTCAAGCCATTCGGACTTGAAACCTGAGCCTTGGCTTCCAATTCTATCACCCTGGGTCCTATTATCGGTCACCAAGTTCTGCTTTTCCCACTAAAATCTTCCTCTTATTTTTCTCTATTTCTTTCTCTGCATATTAAGTTCCTCCATATTACTGCTCTTTTCTCTCCTCCAGCCATACTGGCTGCTAGGCTGAATTTCAGAAGATACTTTCAACATGACATATCCCTTCTATTTGATAAGATGGCCTTCAGGGCCCTCCACTGTCTCCAGCTACCTTTCTCGAGTCATCTATCCTTCCCTGGCCTTCTCACACAGCAGCTGCTGTGGTCTCACCTCCACTGAAATGCCACCTGGATGACAGGGAGTTGTGCGTGTGTGAGGTGCTATGAGTGTGTCCTGCCTGATGTGCCAGGGCAGGGACTCTGCCTCAGACAACCCTTGGATCCTAGAGCTGAATGACAATGAATGAACTCCTCCTGAGAGTCCCACCTCCTATTATTTTTCAAGACAGAAAGATAAAACTTGAACAAAATTTATTGGTTTTCCTTGATTGCCTCTGGTTTAGCTTGGGAAGAGCTTATTTGGTTCATCTGGCGTTGTTTCTGGGCAGCTGCTGCTGCTTTTAAGGCCCTTTTTTGCTTCTTTAGCTTTTGAGCCTCCTGGTAAACCTGGAGATGACAGAGAAAAGACTTTGTAATTCTATGCAAAACCTATGACTGGGAGCAAATGTGCTGCGAACTGCCTTCCCCAGCTGGTCAACACGGCCTTTCTCCATGGGGTTAAGGCCTTGGCACCAGTTCCATGCCTTTATCAGAAAGAGACAACCCCTCCTTTCTGCCTTTTCCACCACAGTCCCAGAACCGACCAACCAAAGCAGCAATCTGGACTCATACCCGAATGCACAAAGCCTTCTTGGCCACCCAGCGGCGGTGGGCTCTTCGGTAGTACATAGGGGGGAAGATGTACTCAATCCCCAGGTCCTTGCATGTCTTCTCAAAGACTTTGTAGTTGGTCTTACGGAGGTTTTTGAGCATCTTTTGCCTCTGGTCAATGCTCATCATCAGATAGCGCTTGTGAGCTTTGTCCTGTAAGAAGGTTGGTATCCCTTTCAGTATTATATAAATAAGTAGTGTGCCACTTTATAGTAATAAAGGATAGTAGTTTATCTCACTGAAGTCTCCCAACAATCTCCTGCAAATACTAGTGTAACTCTGAGGTAGGTATTATTACTGATAGTCCCATTTTACAGATGGGAAAATAAAGGCTCAACAATGTTATCAAGTCTTGAATACTGGTATACTCGTCTCACTCTAAATCTCATGCTCTTTCCCTACATTACACGACTCTCTCAGCCTCTCCACAGCTCAGCAAACTTTCAGATGGAGTGTAGAGGAGGGAAGAACTTTCACTTTTCTCGGAGACCCCTACCCACAGCCAGGTACTGCTCCATGAGAAAATTTGGTGTTCCACACTCTGGAACAAAACTCTGACCTCCAAGGAACAGGCTCAACCAGCTTCCAGAGAACACTGAGATGCCAGCCTGGAGCTGGACTGGTCTGTATTCACAAATTGTGTTTAGTAAAAATACTATCATAGCAACTGCCGAAACTGGTTTGGCTCAGTGGATAGAGCGTTGGCCTGTGGACTGAAAGGTCCCAGGTTTGATTCCGGTCAAGGATAGGTACCTTGGTTGTGGGCACATCCCCAGTAAAGGGGTGTGCAAGACGCAGCTGATTGATGATTCTCTCTCATCAATGTTTCTAGCTCTCTATTCCTCTCTCTTCCTCTCTGTAAAAAAATCAATAAAATATAAATATATATAAAAAAATACTAGCAATTGCCTAATTACAGCAACTCTGTGCCTGACACTGCGCTGAGATATGGTATAATGGTTAAGAATATGGGCCGTGGAGTCAGACCACTTAGTTTCAAGTCCTAGCTCTCATTTCTTAGTGCTGTGCCTTGAGAATAACTTAACCACTCCATGCCTAGATTATTCCTCTGTAGAGTGGGATAGAAAGATGGATATAAAGGTTAAATGAGCTAATGCGTGTAAAATATTTAGGAAGAAGCCTAAATACTTTATTTGCATCGTGTTGGCTGCTTTTATTTCATACTAGAGGCCCAATGCATGAAAATCCGTGCAAGAGTAGGCCTTCCTTCCTCTGGCTGTCGGCACCAGCTCCCCTCGGGCACCTGGGACCCAGGACCCGGGCTGCTTCCCTCCTCCAGCCACCAGCAGGCACCTGGGACCTGGGCTGGCTTCCGGCTGTGGCTTGGTCAGGAAGGATGTCTGGAATGATGTCCGAAGACATCTGGTCTAATTAGCATATTACCCTTTTATTATTATAGTCCTTGTAATCCTGTCAATATATATTATGATCCCCATTTTATGGATAGAACTGAGTTTGACATGTAAAATAATTTCCCCAGAATCACCTAATTAATTAAGTGGAAGTGGCAGAGCTTGGATTTGAACCCAGAGCAATTGGACCCTATTCATGCATTCAACAAATATTTACTGAGTATCTAATAGGTGCCAGGCACTGTGACCATGCTTTAAGTTTGTGTTGTTGACCGTTGGTGACGATCAGCACAGTCCTGAAAGGCTTCCATTTCTCTGCTGGAGGCAGAAAGGAAATGTTTTCCTCACTGAAGGGTGGGCACCCTGGTGCTATAGCCTCCTGGCATCTTAAGCCGACTCTTAGGACCCAGAGCCCTTTACCTCGTGGACTCCTCTGGCCCAGTTGCTGGTGTTTAGCTGTGAGCAATGCTCAAGGCTTACCTTTCGATGTTTCTGCATGTGTTCTTCATAATTTTGGATCTTGACAGTCAAGGCAACAACTGAAACCACAAACCACAGAGGATGAGAGCTGGGCGCAGAGGAAGGAACGGCCCGGACCTGGGGCCTGGGTTATGTATTAACACCTCAAGGAATAACAATCACCAAGGTTTTTGTACAGTTCTCTGTAATTCCCAAACACTCTGACTTTTAAGATCTCAAAAGATTTTGGATACTCTTTGCTTTAGCAAGCAAAGCCTAAGGAATAGAAGCTCCTTAATCTTTATAAGGGTATATCCCCAAACTATAGCAAATAGTATTTTTATAGTAAAACTTTAGAGCATTCCTATTAAATCCAGGAATTCGTTTAGGATGCATGTTATCATGGCGGATGATTCGACACTGCACTGGAGGTCCTAGCCAATGCAATAAGATGAAATTCCTGAACTGCCAAGGGCCTACTCCTTGCCTCTCCCCTTCCAGCTACCACCCTTATCTATGTTTTTAACTAATGAGTTTTCAGAATTATCAACTGCCACTCATCTCCTAAAGCCCCAGAATATCCTTCCTCAGGTATGCTCTTTGATTCCTGCAGCGATGGGCAGAGGCAAAAGCAGAAGGTGGCCCCAAGGAGAGGCTGTAACTATGGTAGGCTCTTCTGTGCACACACTGAATTCTGGGAGCACTCAGGGCAGTGGGAACCTTGGCTCTGACCACATGGTTCCTTCACACCATCTTAGCTGCAGAGTGGAGAGAGGGAAAGGAGAGGGAGAGAGGGAGAGAGATTTGGGTTCCTGAGGAATCTTGCCTGAGTTCACATAGAACTATGAGGCAGGATCTGGGCACTGACTCCAACATCACATGGTTCAGGATACACAGTTTTCATTACCCATGGTCCTTCCTGTCTCTCCTTTAATAAGCCACATCTAATCCTAATGTACTTGCAGATGAAGGCCCTGGATCAAGTACCAGCTAGCAGCCTCCCTCCCCCCTCTGCCCCCGCTCCCCAAGGGCCCCCTAACCAACTTCGAGCCTCCAGGGAGCTGGTGTCCTCAGGGTTTGCCACAACCTTGTTCATCAATTGTTCTTTCTTGACTTTTAGCTTCTCCTTCTGTTGAAGATAGAGAGAATCTATGAAGTCTGCTACCCAATCATAAGAACGGGTCCTCACACCCCAAGGCCATGGGCTTCGGTCATGGCAACGAGGCCATAAAGCTCAGGGCCTGATTTCACTATGCCACCAGGGCCTAGCCTCTGGCCAACCAGATGGCTATTCACATCTAGGTGAGCCCAAGGCCAAGGCTACTGACAGGAGAAATGGCTTGTTTGATGAATGTCCCTAAAGCTTGCTCATTCATTCAGGCATCAGATCTTTATTGAGCACCTACTGTTTGTCAGGTGCTATGGGTGTAATGGGAACAAGACTCTCACTGTCCTTGAGATGCTCAGTCTCAAGGTATTAGCAAGCAGACACAGAATGACATTGGTGTAAGTGCTGCTACTTGAAAAGCATGGGAGGGGAGGTGTTAGCAGGATAGGAGGGAGTGTCAGAGGAGAGGACTGAGGGAGGCCAAGGTTTGGCAATGCCACTCACCTGATTCCCCATTTCCAAGGACAAGAGTCTTTTCACGACATCATCAACCCTGTGGAAAAGTCATAGCAAAGAGAGAAAGGTGTTGGGGTAGAGGGGAAAAGGGAAGCAATGCTGTTTTCATTTTAGCTGGCAAAGCAAGGATGATTAAAAACTTCTTTTACAACAAATGAGTCTCTCTGGAAGTTGGAAGCCATTTCCCACAGATTAGAAGCCAACATGCATCTGACCTGCTGGGCTGAGAGCATGGAACGATGTAATAGCTACAGAAAATGGAGGCTGTCAGCTCGTGTTCTAGGATCGTCATCGAGAGGGTAAAAGAAGGATTTCCATTTTAGCTAGAATATGGTTCAATCTGTTTTGAGACACTTCAATTCTATAGTCATTGTTTCTTTCTCAAGTCCCACTGCACGGTGGGAGGGGTAAGAGGGACTGCCCAGTTAAGACTCTACAACTGGGCCGGGTCTGGTGCGGCCAGGTCCGAAGCAGCGGTTGCCAGGCTGGGAGCGGCCAGGCCCGGAGCAGCGGCTGCCAGGCTGGGAGCGGCCAGGCATGGAGCGGCCGGGCCCGGAGCAGCAGCAGCCAGGTCCAGAGCAACTAGGTCGGGAGCTGCGGTGACCAGACCCGGAGCAGCTGGTTGTGGAACGAACCAGAGCAACAGAGCCCAGGCCCGGAACAGCTCGCTCCTCGCCTGCCCCTGCCCCACGGCTGCCTCTCAGACATGGCTGGAAACTTTTGTGGGAACTTGAGGGTCTGCTGAATCAAGTGATGAAGGCTTAGATCTGGATGTGTTGAGTTAGTATAGGGCTGGGGTGTTGATCTGTGAGTGCCTTGGGTGGGGCCTGGATGAGGCTGGTTGACCTATTTGGAAATGTCTTTTGTGTGAAATGTATCATTGGGCATGTGGTGGTATTATTGATATGAGAAAATGCTAAGTAACTGATTTACTATCTGAAAAGGGATTTTCTCCCTATCGGGGAAAGGGAGGGAGGAAGAGACTGAACATAAACTGCACCTATGGATGAGGACAATGGGGGATGGGGAGGGGGCAGAGGGTGGGGTGGGAACCTAGTGGAGGGGGGAAGAAATGAGGAACCTTTGTAGCAATATGAACAATAAAGATTGATTAAAAAAAAAAAAAAAAAAAAAGACTCTACAACTGGGGCCGAGCAGAAGGATCTCAGCCTTGGTGTCCTTTGGCCCGGGATTCAAACCCTAGCTTTGTCATATTGGAGCTGGATGACATTGGACAGCTTAATAGTCTATATAGACTCTATAACATGAGAATAGTATGTCTTACCTTACAGAGATTTTTGAGAGGATCAAGACATGAGAGGTTTCTAAAAAAATCTGAGGCACGTTGCCTTCTTGGTATCTAATAGCTTAGGGCCATGGTCGGCAAACTGCAGCTCTCGAGCCACATGTGGCTCTTGGGCCCTTTGAGTGTGGCTCTTCCACAAAATACCACAACCTGGGCGAGTCTATTTTGAAGAAGTGGCCTTAGAAGAAGTTTAAGTTTAAAAAATTTGGCTCTCAAAAGAAATTTCAATCCTTGTACTGTTGATATTTGACTCTTGTTGACTAATGAGTTTGCCGACCACTGGTATAGGGTCTTCACCCAGAGCACAAAAAAAGTAATCAGTTAAGCCCCATAAGCCCCACCTGTCCCTGCTGCCCACTCACCCTCACCATGCTTGGGCTGCTACAGCTCTCGGCCCCATTCTATAATCAAACTTCAGATATATATCAGGCTGGGCCTCAAAGCCACTATCTTCCCCCTCTCCTCGCCAGTCCTCCCAGGGCCCCCTGCTTCACCAAAGAGATTTTTTTCCTGCTTACTTGTCAATTCCAGGGACTTCCTGGTAATCTTTGAGGAGTGTGGAAGGGGGCGGGTCATCTTCTTGGCTGGGCCGGACTGTCAAGTGGAGGGATGGAAAACCAGAGTTAACTCTCATGGCCCATCCTCCCAGGCTCCACTCTTCTCACCAACTCTATCAGGACACCCAGGGTCTCCAGCAAGGCACGGATATCTGTGGGCCGGTTTCTCCTCTGCCAACTCCCTGAGCACCTGCCCCCGTATTTCACACTGGGAGTAGAT